ACTGCAATGGTTGAATATTTGTTAAGCACTGGAAATTTTTTATTTAATATATATATATATATATATATATATATATATATTAAAATTTTAATTTATTTTTAATAAATGAACAGTAGATATTATTATCTTATTTTAAAGTTAGTCTTAAAATTGACAAAGAATTCAAAGACATGTACTACAATGGATATTCATTTGATTTAAATATATATAAATATATATATATAACTATGAATAGGAAAATGTGTAGTAAACATTACTTTTGTAAAGAATCGTATAGAAGATTTGTTGAAGAAAAGTTACATGCATAATGCCTCTTATACATGCCATGTGGATATGATTTTTAAATAAAACAATGCTTACATTTTAAAAGTTGCTATAGAAGTATATTACTTCAATCTTTGGCCCACAAGCCTCATGAACTTCAAGAAGCTTCTACATGAACTTCTTATTATATACTATATACAAAAGTAAAACTAAAGCCATACTAAATATTGTAGCCTTGATTCAAGGCTCTCTAATATTTTTTGTAATTGACAATTGCTATTGTAATATCTTTATATATTATCACATATTTATTTATTTATTTATAATACTTTTTCTCCCTTCTTAGTATGCATGTATACTCTTCTATAGATTTTGTAAATTTATGTCTTTGATATGTAAAGTTGTAAATAATACTATATTGTTTTAACAAGTATTGTTAATTTTTACTACAATTCTAAAATTCTACATCCAAACTTAAAAGAACTAAACTTATATAAAATTTAACATTTAATAATTGTGTTCAAATCAATGAATAAATTATACTATAATATTAAAAAAAAATTATACAAAGGTATGCATTTATAATATTGTAATAAAAAAAATGTAATCAAAATTAATATATAAAAAATGATATATGTGCAGATTTCAAATTTTGGAAGTAAAAGGGCGTATTTTTTTGATAATCCGGCTCTAAGTCACAATCTTTTTGCTATTTGATTTAACTTGTCCTTAACTTTAATGTTGATTTTCAAAACTCTATACACATATTTTGGCAAAGTCAAGAGTCTTCAAGTACACAACACATTCTTTTCCCCTAATACGTCATAGTGTCAGCTAATTTTGATCCACTGCTTTAATAAAAACTCAAACATTATTCAAACAAAAAAACTCAATTCTTCCATCAAATATATTCATAAAACTGTGATAATCCTGGTTTAATTTATCCAATGGAATGCCAGGGTGGCGATTGAAAGAGCCCCACAGAAAATCACGATATTTCACAGGTCCACCCGGCACCGCCACGCGGATCCTCGTTACGATTCCACGTGGACCCACGTGTCAACCGCACAGAGCAGAAAGACAGAAATAGTAACTATGCTGACTTGGCTCCAGGATGGCATTAGTAGATCTCTCCACGTGGCAGGCATTGGAGAGGGCGATGCAGTAGGTCCCAGTCGGGGGCTTGTCTCGGTATAAGCCCCGCTTCTCCTCTCCTTCTACACCATCGACAGAACCATATCCACTCGATTCATGGCAGCTTTTGACGACCATCCCTAGTTCCGATCACGCACGCACACCGGCTTTGCCACGCATACCGACTTGATTGCAGTCACAGCGCTTGCCGCGACGCCAATCCGTTCCCTTGTACCGCATCCTGACATTTGTCCATTCGTGTTTTTGTTTTTTGGGTTTTGAGTTTTGATCGAGATGGCCGCCCAGTACACCCAGGATCAGTCGACTGAGTTCCGTCCCGAGCTGGATGAGCCCAGGAGGACGACGACGACGACCACATCCACGACCGGGAGTGGTCTGGAGAATGAGAACTTCGGTGGGTATGGCGGCGTGAGTGAGAACGAGCCCCCGCGCCACAAGATCCACTCCGAGGATGAGCCCCTGCCTAAGCCCATGAGCGGAACGTACTTGGATGAGGAGGGTGCCAAGTTGGACCAGGACTCTGATCGGTCTGGGTTAGGGGCGTCAGATCTCGGCAGGGATGAGCACATCATGCCCAAGCCCACTAGTGAGGGTTATCCTGCAGGAACTCCACAGAGCACCGAGAAGTACCAGGAGCATCGAGACTTGGAGCCCACCCGCTTAGATGGTAAACTTTGGATGCATTTTTGATGACGGAAAATAATCTTCTTTCTGATTTTTCTCTCAAGGGGATAGTTCAATTGATGAGGTGGACTTGGCAGAAGATGAATTTGATATGAACTGTTTGATTCATGTTTTTCTTACAGAGAGTCCGAAGACAGAGGAGTTCGGTGCTGCGAACGCTAGCACAGGAGATTTTGACCGCACCTCTAGCGATGGGCTCCGAACTGACAAAACCCCGGCTTCGGAACCAAGGGGATTCAGAAGTGAGGACACCGCTCCCACATCTGGAGGATATGCCGATCCCACTTCTGCATTTCCTGGTGCACCCATTGACAGAAGAGTGGAGGAGCCCGGCTACGGCTATGATCAACAAAGTACGCTCCCTGTTCTCTTATCCTTGCCTTGGATAATTCTGGAAAGCAGTGACGGAAGTATTTCAGTCTTCCAGTGTATACAGTGATATTTGCAACAGATCCTGAAGAATTTTTTTGTACTTACTTGTGCAGCGTCCGAACCTACGAGCTTGGAATCCGGAACACAGCACAGTCCCAAGAAAGAAGGCTTCATGACCAAGCTGAAGGAGAAGCTGCCCGGGCACCACAAAACGCCTGAGAGCGGTGTTGAGCACCAGGGTGCTGGTGTGGAACACGACACCACCGATGCCCCGCCCAAGAAGGGCCTCATGACCAAGATCAAGGAAAAGCTCCCCGGTCACCACTCCACTGCTCCAGCCTCCACCACCACTGATGTGTAAATTCGAGCAGCATCGTTCAGACAATCATTTGCTCCTGTCTATTTGACTTATAGATTATGTGTGTATGCGGTTGTTTATTTTGAGATTTTTCAATAAAAACGTTTCCAGTCTCGATTAAAATTTTATTTAGCGGATTGTATCACCCCTGGAACTCTGATCCTACGAATTTTGAAGAGCCGTAGGCGGAAAACTGTGTATGGACACTTACTGTGTTACGGATGTGGGTTGCCAGCTGTACGCAATATTTTATTTCCGAATTTCGTGTAATTATAGTTCAGATTTGATCTGTTTACGTTAAGTGTGAATGCCGTATTGTAAAATGTTAGGAAAGTGAATCTAGCTGTAAAGAGGAATGCAAAGTCATTTCACTGCTCTCACTGACGCCTCTCCTACCACGAATTGTGATTGGACTATTATTTGCTCCGCGAGTGAAAAATTCCAGGCAGCTACGTCAAAGTTGCATCAGCATCCTTTCACTCAACCCCTTCCTAAAAGGTAAATTGCCATGTGCGTATCCCCAAGGCAGACGATGGATTAGAGTTTCTCTGATATGCGAGACTGCAAACCAACAATGTTGTGGGTTACTTCTACATATCCTCGTGAAACTGTAAAGTAACAACTAGCTACATATAATACTGAGTAGTAAGGGAACAAATCTTTTCCAAGCCTTTGCAGAAACACTTACACATTTACTGATCAAATTCAATACTCATTTGACGTAGAGTTGTGCATGCGTTCTTCAATGGATTTGCCATTGATTTTCATGACAAGCGGCAGCTACATGGAGGATTGACAACCATCTCGACTACTTTGGTTTGAATAACTTTGTATTGCATGTTGGAAAATTTTTTGCTTCTACGTATGTCGCAAATAATGTAAGAAGGTGCAGATAGCGACAATATGAAAAGCTTCTTTTCGGTCGGGCTCCAACACGCTTGATTTTAAAGGTGCTTTTTACTCTTTCCACAAATGCTTCACAAGGATCATCCAAGTGCAATCTTGTAAGACGAATCCTTCCGAAGTAGCTGGAAAATTCTTAAGTCATTCCAGGATGCCACATCATGGCATATTCGGTCAGCATCGACGTTCAAGTGAGCATATGTCGCTGCTGCACTGTTGCCGAACTCTTGATGAGCATCCAGAAGATAACCGAGCTACATGCGATGTCCAGCAGATCATTGAGTCCAAAGTCACCAATAGCTATATACTCCTACGTGTAATTCTCTTTCGCGAGACGCTGTTATACCAGAGCAAGCAAATAAAAATCACGAATACTTGGGTCGATTCGTTCACACTCTGCAAATATAACTGAACGCTGACGTCAATCATATAAGCACGGGTCCCATCATACAATAATTGCAATCTTCTACGAGACGGCATCTCCTCGGCTTTCTGAGGGGATACTACTTGTCCACAGACGTGGCGTCTGACAGAACCATTTTCAACGCCCTGCCCTACATCTGCCAGTCACTCTATTCCAAGCGTAGCTGTAGAATAGAAAGATTCATCCTAATAGTTGATGCGGTTGAGAAGTTTTGCAGCAAGGTGGTGAATCAGTTCTATGAACAACGTCCAAGAACAGAAGACCACTTTGATATAATCATCATTCTTTACATCAAGTCAGAAGCTCCAGTTTCCACTCCAACATTGTTAACGCAAAATGCTCTCTGCACAAGTTCATTAGTCAAACAGAAATACCCACAGAGCACGGCTAAAACAATATTTAGAGAACCCTCACGAAGCATTAGGTCTTTTCATGTTCAAACACCGTGGTTACGGTTTAGTGGCTCAAGCTCTGTACATATACCTGAACATTTTTACTTGTATATTTATCTAAATATTGAACCTCCTTTGAGAAACTTTTCATCTATATGGTATCAGAGCAATGTAAGATTCTAAAAAGAGTCACTGCAATACCTGGATTGAGTGGCCATGCTTCTAAACTAGGAATACAAGACTAGCACAAGTGAGCCATGCTTCTTGTTTAGCACGATTGGACACGGCTAGCAAGTATCAAGTGAGCAAGTGCTCCTTCCGATCACTTTTGAAGAAATTTAGATAAAGTGACTGAGTGCTCTTTAACTATGTATTGTTTTTTGAAATAAGAAGAAAACAAAGTGGTAGAACACTAGAGTCATGGAAGCATTATGGTTGGAGATTCTAACAAACTCATAGGCCTTGATAACTATTACATATAGCAACTTAAAATGAAAGTCATACTTAGAAGAAAAAATATTTTGGGAGCTGATAGAGAATTATATTCAAAATGTAGTTTTTTCCACAATAGTCTTAAGAACACAATGTACAATGCAATTGATGAAAAAGCCAAAACCTTGCTTTATTAGGAATTCAACTCTTAATAAATAATAGCCTTCTTGGTTTTGTTGGAGCTTTTGATTATCCAACACTAGTGTAGGCTAGTCTTTATGCAAAGTTTGCCATTAAAAACTAGTCAAATTTGCTAATGCTTAACAATCAACTTCATATACTTTCTATAAAAGAACATGTTTCAGATTGCAACATCTGCTTACTTATGATCAATGGATTGCCTAAAAGCTATAAATGTATGATTTAGACATTAAATAACCTTGATATGGTTCTAATATTTGAACAATTCATAACTAAGTTACTTATAGAGACAATTAGATAAGAGCAAAAAATATCATAACTCAACAATAAAAAAGCCTTAAAAACCTACTTCCATCAAAGAACCAATATACAACCATATGATTAAAATGCACATCAAGATAAGTTTTCATATAAATTGAATTTTAGAACTTATGGCACTCATAGAGATTTCAAAATTTGTAGGAAAAGAGCATAATATGGTAGGGATTTTTAATGCCTTCCCTTTAATTACTATAACTGCGGTTAGTTAAGATACATTGTTGTAAAATATTAAAGACAATTATAACAATACAATTATATATAAAAAAAATCAATTTAATTGTACTACCTATGCAAACATTGTAAAAAACTTTGAAGTAGCATTATCAAACTATTAAGACATGTCCTTAACTCCTATTCTTGGTGCATGGAAAATAAATCAATATCTCATGTAATTAGTTATAGTAACAACCTCAATCATCTTAAATAAGATAGCACATGAAGGAATATAAGTACTACTGGTGGAAAAAATCATATTGTTTAGAGAGTTGGCTTATCAATAGTGAAAATTGATTGTGGTGAAATACACTTGACAAACATTTTTTTACATGCCAATTCTAAACAAGAGTCTTATTTTGGTAGGTGGAAATTCTAACACTAGCAACTTAGTTATTTTCTCAAGCACTCACTACCAGATATTTTATGACCTTGACAATAAAAATATCATAGCTATTAGATATCAAGATTCAATAAAAAAATTATATAGATTTGAAACAAATCACCAAGTAAACTATACAAAAGATACAAACTATGATGATATTTGATATTGTAAATGTGATCATTTTAGCCACTGTAAATTCACACATTTACTAAAATATAACAAGATAGTTAGCTTATTCAAAATAGAATTTAAAATAACCATATGCAAAAGTTGACTTGTTGAGAGACTATATATATATATATATATATATATATTAATCTAAGAATAGAGCATCCATGCTAGCAAAATTGATATACTCTAATATCATTGATTTTTTATCAACCAAGTTGCTTTGAGGCTTATAATATTTTGTAATCTTTATCAATGAGTACTCATGTAAAAGTTGAACATACTTCTTTATCAAGAAAGTAGAAATATTTTTAAGATTTAAGATCTTCAAACAATGCATAGAAAGAAAAACTCAAAATAAAATCTTTTTACTAAAAACATATTGTAATAGAGAATTTTTATTTCATAAATTTAAAAACTACTATAAGTTCTAAGATATTTTCTAACAATTCACTAAAATACTAACTTTCCAATTAAATAGAATTGATGATGGATGGAATATGATTATTGTAGGACAAGTTTTTGTATTATGTGAAATATACTTAAAAATGCACCAAGCAAGGTAAAATAAAAATTGCAACAATAAGATCCTAACATCTCTAATAGAATCCTAAATAAATTCTAATTAAATCTTAACAAATCCAATCAAATTCTAGCATGTTTGAATTCCAATAACCTTTAAAAAAATCATTATATCAAGTTTAAATTTATAATATGGATTTAAAATAATATTATTCATGTACTAATAAATGTATGTAAAAATTGCTTATCTAAATGGTAGGCTTAATAAGAAGGTTTTTATGAAAGTATTAAATAGATTTAAATGCATTGGTCTTTCTTAAAAGTGTGTAAACTTAAGGAAATACTCTATAGGCTAAAACAAGCTCTAAAAGTATGATATGCCAGAATTGACTTATAATTCACAAAACAAGGATCTGTTAGAAGTACAACAAATCCAAATTTGTATTATACAAAGAAAAATAATAAACTTATAATCATCCTATTATACATAGATAACTTATTAATTACATGAAATTTCAAAAAAAATATCAAATAATTACAAACAATCCTAACAAAAAAAATTTAATAATGTATTTCAAATTAATAAAATTGTATTTAGGAATAAAAATTGAATACACTCATATATGAATTTGATTGAATCAATGAACATATATTAGAAAATTATTTAATAAATATAGTATGATAAGATGCACTTCAAGTAAAATTTATATAGATCGAGATATACAATTACAAAAACAAATCCATTCAAATCAAATAGACTTTGACAACTATTTATCACCAGTTGATATCCTTATCTATATTATAAATATACAACTAGATATATAATATGCAATAAGCTGCATTAGTAGATATATTAACTTATCAAAAGATGCACATTCAATGGAAGCAACCAAATCTTGAAATATCTGATGGATACATTAAAATATAGTGTACACTTATCTTGCATATGTAGCAAATCCTACTTTACATTTGCAAATGCCAATTGAGAGAGAGATTTAGATACTTGAAGATCAACATCAACTATTGTTCATAAGTTGGGAGGGTCAAGAATATATTTATTAAGAAAATTATAAGATGTAGTCTTTCTACCAAGTATTATAGCTAAATATAAAAATATTCTCTTGTATTATCAATTGGTTGATTCAAACAATTAAAGTATAGTTCAATAAGAACATTGATGAAGTGCCAAATAACAACCACAAAAAACCATATTATCACAAGCAAGAGCTATCATAGCATTAAAAACTAAGACTATAAATTAATAAATAATATCTTAATAATTTTTAAAAAAATAGAAATATACACCATATTCAAGACTTTAATATGTTGTTAAAAACCAATTGCAACATCTATAGAAAGAAATTTCACTTGTAGCATCTTTGCTCAAGAATAATGCCAAAAACAAGAAGGTTTAATAATGCAAAATATTCTCTATACTTTAGACTTCATATCCACTTCTTAAACATTGATAGTTTTAAGTACCAAAAATATATTTTTTTATTATAAAAGATAATTAATATAAGAATTATACTAAGATCATGAGGTCTATTATAACTTATTTAGATATTCAATATATTTATTTTAATATATATATATATATATATATATATATATTATATTTTTTATTAAAAATTTAGATTTTTTTATTATATAATCATATAAAGTTTCTATATAAAATATTGAATAAATTTTTTTAGATAATTTTATTCTTTATATTTATATTTTTCTATTTTCTATTTTTTAAAATAAAAAATATATCATGAATTAATAAAAAGTTATATATATATATAGGTCTTTTAATAAAATTTTATTTATTAATAATAAAAAATACATTATATCATAGTGATTTTTAATAAACATTAAAAAATAATTTGAATTCATTGAAGATTTGAACTTTTACCAAATGAATCTATAATCTTCACATTTTATACCATTTTTATTGATTTTGGAGTATAATAGTAGTTAGTTCTTAATAACAAAGTGAAATCTAGGCATTAATTATTTTTAATACTTTATTTTGTTGATATAGGTTAGATTTGTCTACTTAGGCTATATATATTTTATTTTTTAATATAAAATTTTAAGAATCTATTAGTACTTAATCCACTTTTTGATCATGGTTTGTTACATGGTTCAAAACTATCTTCAATTTTCTTTGTGATTGTGGGGCACTCCATTAAAATTTGTGGATTGTATCTAAATAAATATATAGAGAGTTTAATATCCTTAGTTAATTTAATGCATAAAAGTAATAATCTAGAATAGTTAAATTTATTTACAATAAGTTATTTTTTTACTTTTTAGTAATAGTAGTAATATTATTTTGGGCCATTATAAACAATTCTCTCATAATAACCTAAAGAAAACTTTTATCTACATGTACAAACATTCTAAAGAATCACTAGGCAATAATTTTTTTAAATTACAGTCATGAAAAGTTTGGTTTCAAACGCTTGACAACCTATAAAAAACACGTCAAAAAGTTGTGGATGTTTAAAAATTATTTATTTGAATTTGAGTTTCTATCTGCATGTGTAATATAATATAAAATAGTTTGAAATAAAAAAAATATATATATATATATATATATATATATATATATTAAAAGTTTATGTCAAGAAATACTTTCAAATGAGTGGTAACCTTGAGTATTATTTTGAATTTTATAATGAAAAATTAATTATTTGTTCTACAAAGTAAAAATTTTACAAATGTAAATCAATAATTATATATAATTATTTTTAATTTTTTCTAGTGTTAAATTAATTAGTTATATCAATATCTTAAAAAATAAAAATTATTTTGGTACCTTGTAAATGATGTCAGATTTAAAAAATTTTCAATTGTTGCTATTACATTTTTAGAATGTGATTTTTTTTATCATTAATAGAATCATCTTCTTAAATTTTTAATACTAAAAAATAATAATTGATTTCCCGAAGTTTTCTTCTTATTTTTTTTCTAAGAATTTTATTTTTAAAAAAATTATATATTTTTTTGTTCAAATATTTTTAAATATTTTTTAAAAACCAAAGTGTTCTATGAATGCTTTTGGTAATTTTTGGTGGATTCGGATTCGAGGTCCTTAAACTTGGATCAAAAATTTCGGGGTTTTGTGCAATAAATAGAAAAGGCTTAAAAGAATAAATAAGACCAGTTATTTGGTAGATTCAATTCCATCAATCATTGTCGAGCATTTTGTTACCCTTTTGATTTGCAAGTTTTAGAAATTCTAATATATCTGTTTTAATACATCATTATGTGGATATAATAGATATCGGTCAATACAATAACATGCTTGTAACACAAATATTAGTTTTATGGATTGCACTATTATTCAAAGTTACATTAAAGATTGTTTACTTACAAATTTTAACAATTTGTAATTTTTTTTCTTATAATCTTGGCTGAATTTTTTTGAAATGACTGTTACCATTGGAATTTTTTTTTAAAGGGTTTTGTGCATTTGTCTGTAAATTAAAACCTTGAAAATGTATCAAATACATTGATTTTTATGTGTAAAGGGACTGTAAATATTAGAAAAAAAATGATTATATAGAATAGATTGAAAATTTTATTATGCAGTGGTGAGTTGAAGCATATCACACTTAAGTGTTCATGTGTGTATGTGTGTATCTATATATATATATATATATATATCAAATTAATGACATTTCAATAATCCTTTCAATATTTAAATTCTTACTATCCGCTTATTTATTTAAATAAAAATTAAAGTAGATTTTATATAATATCTGAAATAGAAGGTTTAATAATATGATTGAGAATGGTTTTGAGTATTGACAGGCACTACCAATGTAGAGTCCTCAAAAAGGAAAGAAAATTAATCAGGATTTACTAGAAATAGTTGTACTTACATAATTTACAGCAATATTCAACTCAAAATAATTTCCAAATATTTTGAATGTTCATGTTAAAATATTAAGTGATTGAACATATATTTGTGGATCTATTTTCTACTTATTTATTCATTAAAAAAACACGAGTGTGTGTGCATTTTTTTTATTGCTAATGGATGGCTTATGAATTGCAAGAACGACCAATGGTATAACCAATACAAGTTCTCGTGAGGTTTCGTGATTGCATACCCTGTGATACCCGCTCTAGAACTTACGAACGAGGGCTGATATGTTCCCATGGGATCCAGGGTAACTTAGCGGATACCGAGCGTGAACCATAAACAGGGTATCTTAACGGGCACATTAGTCCAGGTTCCAAGTACCGGGTATAAGTAGGACACACCAGGACCGCAATAGCGTAGAAGTCAATGGGTAGGCTCTGCGCCTCGCCTCGCCTCGCCTGCGTCAAGGCCAATAAATACTGGACTCGTGACGTCGCCTGCCAAGGTCAGTGGCGACTGCGGTGCGGCGAGACCAAATCCTGATATGCTGTACACGCATTGACCGGGACGCTGAATCCTCGCCATCGAAGAGAAGCGTGGATACCTGGCGGCATTGTCTTTGCCCTTCATCTAGATTCTAGGTTCAGGACCCGCGAAGATTTGAAAGTCACGGCAATCGTCAACTCCTCCCACAATCAGGCTGCATCGACAGTCATTTTTTCCAACTGGAACCCTGCTCGATCGATCGCAGTGTATATTGTTAGAATTTTGTTTCAGAGTGCGCGGAATTTTGGGGGAATCGGACACGGTGGAATCGCGCTCTCGCGCAAACCCTAGTACGAGGTGAGTGTTTTCTGTTTGTTGGTTTGTTTATTTGTTTATTTATTTATTTCTATATTGTGAAGAGTCTGAGTTTGAGGAGATGTTAGTTGGATCTAAATCTTTTTTGGGGTCAACGGTTTTTGATAGTTGGTCTGTTTGGGGTCTAGGGTTGTGTACGCGAGATTAACTTATTGCACTGGGATGCTCCATGTAATCTTCGTATTGAGGGGGTGAGCTCAATTGTGAGTGGGAGCTGGGTCTTGATCGTGATTGTTTTTTTGTGGCTGCGGTGCGTAGGGCAGAGCTTAGTGTGATTCATAGCAATGGGGGTAGGGAAGAGAGCACGGAACCCTGTGCAGACCGCGGTATGGTGGGTAAAGAAGCAGCCTCCGAAAGTGAAAGCCGCTCTGGGAGTATTGATAGGCATTATGACGCTCATTTTTTTGCGATTTGTTATTCGCGATCACGACAATCTTTTCTTGGCTGCTGAATTTGTTCATGCTGTCGGCATTGGTTGTCTTATTTATAAGCTTATGAAGGAGAACTCTTGTTCTGGTAAGTATTTCCGTTTTCATTCCTATGCTCAGTTTAACTGTTGTTGAATAAAAGGTTCGCCATAGGTGCCAATATGTTTCTTCAACCAGCAATGTGTCTTTCTTGGAGCATCAGTTGTCTACATTGTTCCCACATCGTTCTGTACGCTCTTAAACATCATGTAGACTGGATATACATGTGCTGAGATGCCTGGTTTTTACCTTGCAATGGCAGAGAATGCAGATTCTGAAATCGTGTTTTGATATCATTAGCACCAAAATTATTTTACTACGGTTTGTTTACAAACGTATGACAGTTGCCTTGGACAATTACGGGACATGGCTTGCTTCAAACGATTTCCACTCAGTTAAAGTTAACACGTAAAATCTGTTAATTGAATGCAGGTCTATCACTCAAGTCTCAGGAGCTTACTGCCATATTTTTGATGGTGCGGCTCTATTGTAGCCTGGTGATGGAGTTCGATATTCATACTCTTCTGGATTTCCTCACATTCCTCACTACTGCGTGGGTGATTTATATGATGCGGTTTAAGCTTAAGGCTACTTCCTCGGAGGACCTCGACAATCTTCCCACATACTATGTGGTGAGTAATCAACGCAATGCCAACATACTTACCTATATTTGTACTGGCAGCATTGTATAGTCATGCAGCATATATTTTCAGTCTCAGCAAGACTCGAGCACACAAGGATTATTCCTTGCCCTTAATGCATCGTGTTCGAAGTTTAGTTCTCATTGTGTATTATCTCGTTAGTCAGCGTAGAAGTGGTCAAGTTCAGGAGAGAACACTAACTCAGACGAGAGTAGGTCATATGGTTGGCTCTATGGTTGTAAACTATCGAAGTTCGAAACCTCCAGCTTCAATTGACGGATGATCCTGGTAAAACAGGCTTTGTTACTTTTGATGAGTTGATTCAATGTTAACTTGTATGAGCTATCAGCATCACTCGTATTAACAGTTCGTGATTGTTATCTCTGTGCAGCTGGGTCCATGTGCAGTAATGGCCATTTTGATACATCCAGGCACATCTCACCATATTATCAATCGTGTATTGTGGGCATTCTGTGTTTACTTGGAAGCAGTGTCTGTCATGCCGCAGCTTCGTGTTATGCAGAACACCAGGGTATGTGTACTGATTCTGTTTGCATACATAAAACGGGTTCAGTAGTCTGGTTTACGTAATAGGCAGCCAATGCTCTTTATCTTTGGGGCATATTTTCTTCAGGTTATCAGCTCCAGGGTCATGTTTCGATCAATATGTAGAGATTCTACCTTTTCGGGCTTTCTCTACTCCAGTTGGATTGCTTAGTTGTGTAAGTGAAAGTAAATTTACGGTGTATGTTTGTCTATATGGCTTTTCTACCTACATCTTATGCTACATGTACACGATCCAGTGTGACTACTTACTAACACAAGTTGGGTTTTAATAGTAATTATTTTGATTTTCAGGTTGTTGAGCCTTTCACAGCCCACTACGTCTTTGCTCTAGGTATTGCCCGATTTCTGAGTTGTGCTCACTGGATTCTTCAGGTAAATTGCTCCTTTGTCCTTGGTGCACCATTAAGTCATTCTGTACCGTATTCCGGCTTGAATTGGGAACTTTAGTAGACGTATTCCTGGCTCTACCTTGCAATTCTCAATCTGAGATGAGAAGCCTTACAAACAACAAGAGCAGCATTGAAATTTGTAACTCTCTCTTTGTTTTGTGAACTTTAACATATAACTTAGGCATTGAAATTTCCAATTAAAAAATGATTGACAGTAATTGTTCAATCTGTAATTCTATTGCTGTCAGTTTAATCTCTAGTGTAAATCTTATTTTGAATAGTTTCTGTAACACTAGAAGAATGTGAAATGTCTTACTCCATGTTATTGATCCTCAGGTGCTGGACGGCCGCAGCTTCCTGCTTAATGTACTGGGCTATGGCCTATGGCCCGGAATGGTTCTTCTCTCGGAGATTGTGCAAACAACTATATTGGCAGATTTTTGCTATTACTATGCAAAAAGGTACCCTCCAATGCATCATGCGGTTGATTAAGTTGTTTGTGAGTCAGCCAGACGCGCACAAACACTTGTGCCTTCTTCTTTTCTTTCTTTTTTGGTTTTTATTTGGTTTTTTGGTTTTTGGGTCTGTTTGAATTTGTCATGTTTAATCCCTACTCCCAAATTTGATAAATCATTCGTCGATTTGACATTTTTGTGATGCCTATCAAAAAGCTGTGATGGTTTTTATGTAACTAATTTTAGTGGGTGTCCGTTGTGACAGTGTAATGGACGGCCAGATGATGGTGCGGCTTCCTTCTGGTGTAGTGTAGGTCTGTTGTGACAAGGCCACTTAAATGTATAAGTAAAATCAGAGCCCCAGGGTACAAATGATGGTTTAACTTTCTCTTTTGTACCAGGTTTTCATTCTAGTTTAAGCCCTCTTCTACGGTTATGGTTTCAGGGCCCATACAAGCTCTTACGGTTTCAGTTATCTGATCTGTGAGGATTGTATAATGGAGGTGCTCATCTTCGTGTGCCGACTCCTTCAGTTGGCTGTACAGCAGTTGTCAGTTGCATCAAACAGAATTGAGAAGATTATTGTCATTCTGTTTGTGTCCAAGGATCTGCGTGATGTGTTGTGCAATTGAACTTAGGTACCTTTTGGTGATTAAAGCCTTGTGAAATGGATGAGAGTCATTTGTTGGAACTGGTCGACAGTAATGCAACTCTGAGCGCTTGTTAAAACGCATTTATCATCTGCTTAAGCGTATTATGTGAAACGCAGTTACACATTCCTTTCTAGCATAGTTGAATACACAACAAGACTCGTATCTGCATAAGCACATTTAAGACACTGTAAATCTGGCAGGTAACACCAAAGATTTTCTAAACAATGGAAAAAAACGAAAGTGACATCCAGGTATTCAAAGTCAACTGGCGTGTGCATCGAGTCGAACTGCCTGTTTCAGTCAACCCCAAACACAGCCGGAAAAATGGATGGCTGTGGGGTTGCCTACAGTTGTATCAGGTCACAAAATAAATTGTAACCTTATCTTTCCAAATCAATGCGTTGAAAATCAACAACCAACACTAGAAATCGAAAGTGTAGCCAACGACGACATGTTCAATCAATTCACAATTATAACCCGATTCGCGGAAGAACTCTTCATTCCTGATCTCGGGCAACCAGCAAGCCGTGTCAAAACGCTGAATCGGATCCGAAATTGACGGCGTCAAGAACGTAAATGTTTCGGATGCTGATTGAACAGTTAAGCATTCCTCAGCACAGGCATACCGACGATAATGGAGCTTAAACAGTTATCATGCAGCTTCAAACATTATACCCTGAGTGCCATGGGACCAATTAGATAACTTAACTCCACAGCAACAACTGATGGTTGATCTGAAAAAGATCTCTGCACTGCACCAGTGCACATCAATCATCAGTGCCCCAAAATGCGGAGGTCAGAAAGACAAGGGTACAACAAAACGCAATATAATAAGGAGAATTTCAAACATAATACAAGAAGTCCTATGACACCCCACTCTATTCCATGCGTCCCATTTCTTCAAGCAATTGTCTTGCATTTCTGACTAGTGGGAGATGAATGCCAATCCAAAAACAACCGTGCGTTGAGCAACGCCAAATGGCAAAACTTTGTATTGACGACGACTAGCGCAGGAAAATGATCCACAAACGAAACTCTTCCAACAAAATATCGGCGACTGCTCCAACATCTTGTGACAGTAACTACACCATTGGAGAAATAAAAAAACACTACTTTCATGTCACATCTTGTAATTCTATGTCAACCCCTTCCCTCACATACCCGTGCTTGCCCCGACAGCCCAAGACATTGACAGCAACTTCAAACCTCCACTGTCGAACTCGATACCGTCCAAAACTGTACCATTCGTACTACACCTCATCCTCGGCTGCATGAAATCCAGCGCCTTTTACACCTCCCACCACTTCACCCGTAAACCTCGAGAATGCGGAGTACATGCAACACCAACATCCTCACTCTACATTAGCTTCCAGCCGTCCGCTGATCCTGCTCTTGCCCTACACCACATTCCCTCCATCACAAGCATTTGCTCATTTGGGGCCCTTTTCTATATAGAAGATGAGAGGGGGGAATGAGTACGTAAATGAGAAAGTCAACAAGGATCATTTACTTCCAATCAATTGCATCTAACACTTACAAATCCTAGCAACCACATCCAATACCCCAATCCATTTCTATTGGCACCATTTGACCTACCAACCACAGAAAATCACTGATTTTACTGGCCAGACACAGACACCATATTTGTGCACAATGTAAAAGATCTAACTCACATAAAAACGACAATCCAAACCATGCTAACATCGGAAAGGATTGCACTCAACAAAGAGACTCATCAGAATATGTGATATCCAAACTGGTTTGAAAAAGAAAAAGAAAACCAAGTGTTCATTAAATTTCTACTTCAAAGTAAACAAAAACCTTCATCGGCTCTGTGAACCAAAAAAAAAGTTGATTGTGACTCAGTTTGTTGTTAATTACTATACCAAACTCGTTAAACATCAACTCCCCAATAACGCGTCTGTACTCCGGATCACTCAAATGCGACTCAATCCACACGACTTGCCATCCACATGCAGTGTGCTTGTCCATATGGGACCCGGATCATGCAAGACACAGCACATCGGACTCCAATACTGCAACCACCATCAAACTCCAATACACCAGGAATATGCCTCATCCATACCCAAGTCTCTTGCATTCAAATCCCGGACCGTGTTTTCATTTCACAAAAATACGTACAGCAATGTACAGCGTATGGCACACTCAATGATCGACTGCGGGTCGATCTTGCTCACGAACTTGGCACGATGATGCCAAGCAATTATGTCTAAACACCTAGCACGGCAAGCGTGACGCACACAAGGCGACCGTCGAGTCGACAGTGAAGCCCCTCCCGGGGCCCTCCCACCCCCATCATCGGGACGTACTCCTGCTCATGGGGTCGCGCACCACGCTTCCTTGGTTCTCAATCAACCAATCCCCAATCCCCTCTTCCCTGCATCGAATGCCTACGAAAAATGTGTCGAACCCCGTCCGACGGACGCTCGGACTCGTCGCGCATCCTGTTCCGAGCAAACCTCGACGTGTAAACATGACGTGAAACACGACGCGCTGGAGCTGGCGCCGCGACAGGCGGCGGGGTCCCCATTTCGGGTGCGCTCTGCCGGAGAAGCGCCCCGCGATCGCCATACCTGTGGTGTGGCCGTTCCATTCAAATTCCAATTACCATCGCTCAGCGCGACCACGCACGGGTCGCCTCGCCCGCGCCTCAGCTGCTGTGCCACGAGAACGGCCGGCGGGAGCGGGACACCGCGGAGCGAGTCCTCAGGACAGCGGACGAAAGGGAATGCAGCAGGGAGAGGGCTATGGCAGCCTTCACCTGGCCTCGTCTGGGGGCAGCCCTCCGCGACCTGCCCATCCTCTGCACAGAAACACCGTGACCCGCTGCCATTGTTGGAATTCGGACTCTGAGCCTGCGATCGACGAATGAATGCAACCAAACGATCCGCGCAAGAGAGAATGAAAGAACGGTAAGCTAGTCACTCCGCGAGCAACACAACACTTGTTGGGTGAAGGAGGTGGAGGAGCAGGAGAATCAATCGGATGACTGCAGCGCTCTACCGCCACGGGGTTCTTATAGAGGAGAGAGAGAGTCCGGACGGGAGCCTGTCTGTCTGGATTTTGCTTGTTTGCGGTCAAGGGCGCTCCATTGACCAAAGGGGGGGGGGGGATGAATAGCTGAGGTTGTTAGCTTGCCCTTCAAGGCTAGGGGGGCACGGTACATAGGAAGGTAGGAAGGACGATGGATGATGGCCATAACGATGGATGATGGCCATAACGATGGATGATGGCCATGACGATGGATGATGGCACTTCCACCAGCACCAGTAACTTAGTGGCACCCCAGTTCTAGAGAGGGCATGGCATAGCCATCCGTGGGGGCAGGGTGGGGGCGCAGCGGGCCGGGTCGGGTCGGGTTCAGGACCAGGAAGGAGCCGGGGAAGCCGGGGGTGAGGTGGGGGCGCCCAATCACAGAGTTGGCGGTATCCTCGATCCGTGGCGGTATTACTGCGTCACGCATTCCTTGGACCGGGTCTCCTTTCACAAGCTGCCTCCCTCCCAGCCCCCGAGCTGCCCTGCCTTGAATGTACGTGTACTCTTGTAAATGTAAGCAAAATTTATGATGTGATAAGGTCTCGTGCGGAAGCAATTTAAATAACCTTGGTTGGCTCATTTTGTTTAAAAGTTTGACCTCTGAGAACATGCTTAATAACTTATTTGAATGGTTTTTTTGGCAGTGTATTGCAACTGTTTTGGAGCAACGAGTAAGAGATTATGGTTGAATTTACACCTGGAAGTAGTTTGTAAACTTCTAGAGTTGGAAAATTTGTTCAAAGTTCCCTAGCTTGGTGAAGAATTGCCTTCTTTTAAAAGCTTTGAATTTTTGATACTATGTGAAATAATAAATGGTGTTCGAATGGACAAAATGATTTTTTGTTTAGAGGAATGTCATTTCTTATACTTTGAATCCAAGAGTTATTAGAGGAATATTACTATCCTATAGTCATATTTATTATTTATTTTTAATATATTTTAATTATTTATTTTCAAAATTTTCTAAAAATATATTCTTAAGATTTTCTAGTAGCATTTTTAAAGGATTAAAAATAGTAAGGTCTTTTAGAAAAAGTTGCATTCTATTTCATCTTTTTTTAGAGCCTTCAAACTTATTTATCAGGACTCTTCAATTTTAATTTTTTATATAATTATAAAATTATAACCTCTTATCTTGTCTCGTTCATATAAAGTTACTCTTAATAACTTACTTCTAAAAATATTAGATTATAGTTTAAATATATTTTGAAATTCCATCAAATCTACTAGGAATTATTTATCATACTTAAATATAAAAGAAAAATTAAAAATCATATACATTATATAAATTATTTAAAATTAATAATATATATTTAGATATATATAGAAAAAATATAATGATAGTTTTAAGGATATAAATTACAAACAATCAAAATGTAAATATAATCTATTATTATTTAAAGGGAGTACAAATTTTTTCTAAGATAGTATCATTTAAAATCTTAATAGGCTATTAACAAAGACAACAAGTCTAAAGTTTCTTAAAACAAGAATAATAATAAGAAAGATGTTGACATGAGTGAAGAAAGCCTCATTCTTGCTTTGAAAAATACTATCTAACTAGAAGCTATGTAATAATGTTGTATAGGACCTTTGACTCATTTTTAACTTATAAAATACATGTCTAATTTATATGACAAGTTTCTTACATGTGCACCACATGGACATCTTGTACTACAAGACACCAACATTTATAATATGTCACCAACTTGTTGGTTTAGTTTTCAATTTATCAATTATCTATGGACACTTATAAAGTCAAATATGTCCATATAAAGCTTATAAAAAGCTTATTTATAAAGTATTATCAAATTTATTTATTTTTATTTATTTCTATTTAATTCCTTTAATTTAGATAAATATGTATGCCTACAATATTACTATTTTAAAAGATAAATTCTACAAGGAGTAGTAATCATATAATGAAAAATTCTTAGATGCA